TTGTTAACCCCTTCAAAGAACTCTAATAGATTAATAAGACATGATTTCCCTTTACAGAAACCATGTTGACTTTTGCCCAACAAATTATGTTCTTCTACCTGCCTAACAATTTTATTCTTAACTATTGTTTTGACTAATTTCCCCGGTACTGACGTTAGACTTACTGGTCTGTAATTGCCAGGATCACCTCTAGATCCCTTTTTAAATATTGGTGTCACGCTAGCTATCTTCCAGCCAGTAGGTATGGAAGCCAATTTAAAGGATCGATTACCGACCATAGTTAACAGTTCTGCAATTTCCCATTTGAGTTCTTTTAGAACCCTTAGGTGAATGCTATCCGGTCCCGGTGATTTGTTAACGTTAAGTTTTTATATTTGTTCCAAAACCTCCTCTAATGACACTTCAATCCAGGACAGTTCCTCAGATTCATCTCCCACAAAGATGTGCTGGTTTGGGAATCTCCCCAATGTCCTCAGCCATGAAGACTGATGCAAAGAAATAATTTAGCTTCTCCGCAATGGCTTTATCATTCTTGATTGCTCCTTTTGTATCTTGATTGTCTAGGGGACCGACTGGTTTTTAGCAGGCTTCCTGCTTCTAATGTACTTTAAAAATATTTTGCTACTGTTTTTTGAGTTTTTGGCTAGCTGTTCTTCAAAATCTTTTTTTGCTTTTCTTATTACATTTTTACACTTAATTTGACAGTTTATGTTTATGTTCCTTTCTATTTATCTCACTGGGATTGGACTTCCAATTCTTGAAAGATATCTTTTTGTCCCTCGCTGCTTCTTTTACATGGTAGTTAAGCCACGGTGACTCTTTTTTAATGTTTTTTAATTTGGGGTATACATTTAAGTTGGGCCTCTATTATGGTGTCTTTAAAAAGTTTCCATGCAGCTTTCAGGGATTTGGCTCTAGTCACTGTGCCTTTTAATTTCTGTTTAACTAACCTTCTCATTTTTGTGTAATTCCCCTTTTTGAAATTAAATGCCAGAGTGCTGGACTGCTGAGGCATTCTTCCCACCACAGGAATGTTAAATGTTATTATATTATGGTCACTATTCCCAAGCGGTCCAGTAATAGTTACCTCCTGGACCTGATCCTGTGCTCTACTCAGGACTAAATCGAGAATTGCCTCTCCCCTTGTGGGTTCCTGTACTAGCTGCTCCAAGAAGCAGTCATTTAAGCCACTGAGAAATTTTATCTCTGATTCTCTTCCTGAGGTGACATGTACCCAGTCAATATGGGGATAATTGAAATCCCCCATTATTATAGAGTTTTTTATTTTGGTAAATAAAATACCAAAATACCTCTCTAATCTCCCTTAGCATTTCAATGTCACTATCACCATCCTGGTCAGGTGGCCGATAATATATCCCGACTGCTAAATTCTTACTTTTGGGGCATGGAATTACTATCCATAGTGATTCTATTGAACATGTTGATTCAGTTAAGATTTTATTTCATTTGATTCTATGTTATCTTTCGCATACAGTGCCACTCTGCCAGCCACACGGCCTGCTCAATCCTTCCGATATATTTTATATCCCGGTATGATTGTGTCCCACAGACACATTTTTTATTGGGCAAGGGGTGACTTCCTTAACCTTCATCTTTTCATTCATTTCCCCAGCAACTTCCAAGTTGCTTCCATCTTTTGTTGCCTGCAAGAACAGAGACAGCTTCAACTGCTAAAGATAATAAGTGATGGGGTGTGATGCAGGCAAACCAGTTGCCAGCTTTTGGCGAACAAAATAATTGCTGAAAACCAGCATGGGTCTCCTGTGTGTTCACATGGCTTGGGTGGGTATGGAACGTATAACAACGTGTTCAGACTTTATGAAATGTGTGTAAGTTGTTGCCTGCATTATTCCTATGTATGACATGCTACATGGTGCGGGGACTCTCTCTAACTCCACCTGCAGTGCAAGGTAGAATTTGCTCTTCATCACTGTCATTTGTTGGAGCAAAGCACTGAATCAGGGTGAGAGTGTTGTCTCACTCTTTCAGTCTGGTTCTCATAAGTCTGTTGCTGAGAGACTCCCACTCAAGCAGAGAATGTTCCATCTCCTGCTCCCAAAGGGATGGTAACACTCTCACCATATTGTCCGTCATCCTGTTCAGAGCGTGGTATCACCCAAGGCTGTTTTTAATCTTCCTGATCCCATCCACCTGCTCTCGCTGACGCCCAGTATGTACAAGCTGTGGCATCCTGTGTCTGTTGTGCCCCGAACTAGCTTCCCTGCTCTGTGCATTGCCTGTATATTCCATATATCTAGGGATGCAAAATGTTGATTAATTGGCTAATCAAATAGTTGATGCAATTTGCATCGACTATTCGATTAGTTAATAAAGGTGCCCTAGGGCTGTTACTACACTTCAAAGGCAAAAGCGTTGCAGAGAGCAGGGAGCCAGCAAGGGATTCAAGGGGGACTCCAGCAGTATTGTGGAGTACTCCAGTATTTATCTGGAGTATTGTGTCCAGTTCTGGGCCCCCCACTATAGAAAGGATGTGGACGCATTGGAGAGGGTCCAGCGGAGGGCAACCAAAATGATTAGGGGGCTGGAGCACATGACCTATGAGAAGAGGCTGAGGGAGTTGGGTCTGTTTAGTCTGCAGAAGCGAAGAGTGAGGGGGGATTTGATAGCAACCTTCAACTTCCTCCTTCTCTTCCTGCCTCTCTCTGATAGAGGCAGCAAGGGGAGGGAGTAAATGATTAATCGACTAGTGTGTCGACTATCTGATAAGCTTTTGCTCATTGGATAGTCGACTAGTCAATCACATCCCCACATAAAACTGTTTTTTCTCTTTGTGTTGAACACTTCATGTCTCCAGGGCCTTCCTTTTGGCTTTCTCCACTGGCAGTCATACGGGTCATGGATGGCTGAAGTCCATCACACACAGTGAAGACACCCTGGAGGATAACTAAAGACTCCAAGGAAGAGGAGATTTCCCTGGTTTGAAGGCTTAGCTGGGACAAGACCAGTTTCAGGGTGAGTTTTTAATAAGTTTGTACTGAGGTTTTAGTAGTGAAGCATTTTCTGTTATTTTGAGCTTGTAATCTAGTTTGCTCTGCCTGTTCTCACTTAAAACCATTTAAATCCTACTGCTTGTACTTAATAAAACCATTTGGGGAGTGGTATCCCTGGAAGCTGGGCCCGAAACTACATTTTTGTTGGACCTTTAGCGATTCAGTGTCTGTGCTGCTCCTCAGGGAGGCAGAGATCTCAGCTCAGTGTTTTGGCTGGGGGAGACCAGAGGCACTGGCCCAGCAGGACTGGGTGGTGAGGAGCTGCAGAAAGCAGGAAGCCGAATGGCAGTGGCTGTATCAGCAACCCAGGAAGCCTCCCCACAGGGGTTGTCTGTGACCTCTCCTCATTACAGCTTGTCCAACAGCGCCACCTCCGGAGGATGGACAGTCGCTCAGGGACAACATGCCCACAGACCAGCCGTACTATTTCCACTGTGGCCACACAACTCTTTAAAGCAAAAGATCCTGCCTCAGAAGTGGAATTTTATCAATCACTATTGGTGGAAGCTGACGGGCACTGGAAAGTGCAGAAATATTCAATGCCAAGGACCTTTAAAAGTAATAATTTTATGTATTTAACTCACTAACTTAAAGCTGAGTGCCCACTGAGACCTCTAGCAATAGCCAAGCCCCTGTGCATTGCATGAAGCAGGGATCTGTGGGTAACACAGTGCATGATCATGTCCCTAAGGACTGTATAGTAATTAAAGCATATGCAGGAGGGGGCCAAATCCAGAGTGCACACACGTCTGGCACTTCCGTGATTTTCCAGTGGCAACTGCAGGGTTTTCTTGGAAGTAAAGATCTAAAAAGAGCCTCAGATTTAAGACTCTATAAAGAGAAGAGTTACCTGCTGAATATCCCGTTTGTCCTCAATGATTTTATTCATCAGAATCCGGAAATATTCTGCCACATCCTGCTGCTGGTGCACTGTGCCAACACAAAGCAGAATGATCAACATCTGATGGGGGGGCTGGTTACTTCATCCTCCCAAGGGCCCTCTTCTCTGCCTCAGTTTCCATTACTTCTGTTTTCTTTTCAGCAGGGACTCTGGGCAGTTCTAGTGTACACGGGTTGATCCAAGCTACATGATCTGAGTTGTATTAGCAGCAGAACTCAAATTCATGTGGCTTAGATCTACTCACCAAGGGGTCCTCACTGCACTGGGGCAACGGAGGAAACACTCCCGTTCACTCCCCTTACTCATTCTGACGGAGCATCAGAGTTGACAGGAGAGTAATGGGAGATCAATTTAGTGGGTCTTTGATTCCGCCTGTCAGCGTTGCAATGGCAAATCTTCAGAAGTAAACGTATCTGATGAAGTTTTATTGAAAGAAGGAGTTGCTGCCTAGGGTAAGGGCAGGGGAAAGTCATGGAGCAGAAATGGGATTGTGGGAACAGTTTATACTTGTTTGAGAAATCATCTTGCACTGACTGGGGGGCAGGGGAGCCAACAAGGGACCCAAAGTGAGCCTGTCAGCGTTGCAATGGCAAATCTTCAGAAGTAAACGTATCTGATGAAGTTTTATTGAAAGAAGGAGTTGCTGCCTAGGGTAAGGGCAGGGGAAAGTCATGGAGCAGAAATGGGATTGTGGGAACAGTTTATACTTGTTTGAGAAATCATCTTGCACTGACTGGGGGGCAGGGGAGCCAACAAGGGACCCAAAGTGAACACGCCGGGGAGCCACAGAAATGAACGGAAGAGGCCCAAATACCCAATTCAGATACACAAACAGGATTCCAATGGCCCAGTAAAAAGTGAACTTCCAGCCCCTTTGTGGATCAGCATCAATAATGAGCCATTGCTGAGGTAACATCTGTCTCCCGTTCACTAGAAATCACCGGGAACGTGACCAGGCCGTGAGGCAGAACTCCAGGGGAACAACTTACCATTGCTCACCCCAAGGCAGCGCGTAATCCCTTCGGTGGAAGGTGCTGAGCTTCCCCACTTCATTTGTTCAAACAGCGTTTTCAGCGGGCACACGATGCTGGAGCCATCGACAGGATCAGGCCTGCAGAATATCACAGAGACACAACATTAGTCACCCGCCTTCCAGGGAGAATCCAGGTTCCGATCACACGGCTGCTGCTGCTTCCAGGAGTGAGCAGTCCCTCCGGAGGCCTGGGCTGGGCCCTGTGGGTGGCCCACTTGGGGGAACCCAGAGATTAAAGACCAGACTGAAGTCACCTCTCAGCTTGGAGGAGGGGTGTCTCTGGGCTGGTGATACAGGGCAACAGGGGACCGAGTAAGGGGGTGACAAGAGTTACCTGTTCTGACCCTTTCCTGTGACCCGTCTGTTCTCAGGGTATGCTGAGATGGTTTCTTTGGGACTGGATTTCTGACCCAGCTTCCCACTTCTACTCTGGCCAGGTACAGGTCAGTCTGCAGCCTGGCCTCTATCACACACTTGCAGAAATGAAGCCAAGTGACAAAGCCCCTTTCCCAGATGCCACAGAGATGGCAGAAGAGACTCAGGTTACAGGCCATACTAGAGCCTGGGAGAGGTGACTTCCCATATTGACACCCAGAGGCCATGGGGAGCTTTAGCTCAGACGCATGGTGGAGATGAGGCACTGCAGGAAGTACCACCTGGAGGGCCAGAGTGACAGCACCCTGCAGCTTTCTGATTGGCCCTTGCTCACTATTTAACACTGGTGGTTGTCCAGGATGTGGTCCTGGCAACCACATGAATGGCTGGCTTGCTGGGAGTCCAGACCTCCCCCACTTTCTGATCTCCCGTCTCTGGCTCCAGCCTGACTGGCTCTTTCCTCCTTATTCCAGCTTAGTAGCTATCACCAGTCTCTGGTCCTACTTGCACTTCTGGTCACCAGCCCAAGTGTGATTGCTGGGCCAGACCCTCTACTCCCCAGTCCCTTACCCAGACACAACGTGTCCCAGCCAGAGAGGTGTTCATTTAAAGAAAGCGGGAGAGGAAAGAGAGACGAGGCCTCTCCAGTTTGGGCAGGTGTCTCAGTTGCACAGAAGGAAGGCGATATTGAAACATTAATATGTATCCAGCAGCCAACCTCAGAGGGGGAACTTAGAGAGCCTGACTCCCATCTCCAGCCCTGGCAAGCGGGGTCCTGTCTGACCTGTGGTTCACAATGGCTGTTTTCACAGCCCTCTCCCTCACTGTTCTGAACCCTGCCCAGTTGCCACAGATTGGATGAGTCTGGGAGCTCCCAATAGATACCTGACCAGTCCATGTAACCCCCTTCCGGCATCTTGAAGGCTGATTTCCAAATTGTCCAGCTAAGCAGACCAGTGCCTGCCTGGCATGGAGCTGCAGCCTCTGGAAGCCTGCCCTTAGAAAAGGGGCCACCATGCCCTGCACGTCGCTCGGTAAAGGAGGGAGGGTATGAATTTCTGCCAGCTCATGGGACAGGATCACCACATTGCTTGAATGTCCCCTGAAGCCATTATTAGAAGTTGGCCTCATTTTCCAGGATAACATCAAGGTGCCCCCCAGAGATGAGAGGGGAAAGGAGTCCAGGAGAGTTGTCAGTATTTCAAAGAAGCCTTATTGAAAGCGCAGGAACAAACCATCCCGATGCGCAGCAAGAAAAGCAAATAGGGTAGGCAACCAGATTGGCTAACCGGGGAAATCCTTGGGTGAGCTTAAACACTAAAAGGGAAGCTTATAAGAAGTGGAAACTTAGACAGGTGACTAGGGAGGAGTATAAATCTATTGCTTGAGAATGCAGGGGAGTAATCAGGAAGGTGAAAGTGCAATTGGAATTGCAGCTAGCAAGGGATGTGAAGGGTAACAAGAAAGGTTTCTACAGGCATGTTAGCAATAAGAGGGTCATCAAAGAGGTGGTGTGGCCCTTACTGGATGAGGGAGGTAACCTAGTGACAGATGATGTGGGAAAAACTGAAGCACTCAATGCTTTTTTTGCCTCTGTCTTCACAGACAGTTCCCAGACTATACTGCACTAGGCAACTCAGAATGGGGAGGAGGTGGGCAGCCCTCAGTGGGGAAAGAACAGGATAAGAACTATTTAGAAAAGTTGGACATACACAAATCCATGGGGCCAGATCTAATGTATGTGAAGGTACTTAGCAAGTTGGCAGATGTCATTGCAGAGCCACTGGCCATTATCTTTGAAAACTCATGGCCATCAGGGGAGGTCTCAGATGATTGGAAAAAGGCAAATGTAGTGCCCATAAAAAAATAAAAAGAAAAAAGGGAAGGATAGTCCAGAGAACTACGGATTGGTCAGTCTCAGCTCATTCACCAGAAAAATCATAAAAAGGGAAGAAGGACAATCCAGGGAACTACAGACCAGTCAGTCTTACCTCAGTCCCCAGACAAATCATGGAGGGGATCCTCAAGGAATCCATTCTGAGGCACTTAGAAGAGGGGAAAATGATCAGGAACAGTCAACATGGATTCACCAAGGGCAAGTCACTCCTGACCAACCTGATTGGCTTATATGATGAGGTAACTGGCTCTGTGGATGTGGTAAAGTCAGTGGTTGTGATATACCGTGACTTTAGCAAGGCTTTTGATATTGTCTCCCACAATATTCTTATCAGCAAACTAAGGCAGTATGGATTGAATAAATGGACTTTACAGCGGATGGAAAGCTGACTGGACTGTCAGGCCGAATGGGTAGTGATCAACAATTCGATGTCTGGTTGGCATTCGGTTTCGAGAGCCTGAAGGATCGGTTCTAGAGTCAGTTTTGTTCAACATCTTTATTAATGACCTGGATGAGGGGATGGATTGCACCCTCAGCAAGTTTGCAGATGATACTAAACTGAGGGAGAGGTAGATATGCTGGAGGGTAGGGATAGGTTCCAGAGTGACCTAGACAAATTGGAGGATTGGGCCACAAGAAATCTGATGAGGTTCAACAAGGACAAGTGCAGAGTCCTGCACTTGGAATGGAAGAATCCCGAACATTGTTACAGGCTGGGGACCGACTAGCTAAGTAGCAGAAAAGGACCTGGGGATTCCAGTGGTTTAGAAGCTGGATATGAGTCAACAGTGGGCCCTTGTAGCCAAGAAGGCTGGTGGCATCTTAGGGTGCATTAGGAGCAGCATTGCCAGCAGATCTGGAGAAGTGATTATTCCTCTTTAATCAGCACAGGTCAGGCCACATCTAGAGTACAAGTACAGCATCAGTTCTAGAACCCTCCACCACAAAAAGGATGTGGATGCACTGGAGAGGGTCCAGCGGAGGGCAATAAAAATGATTATGGGGCTGACGTGCATGACATATGAGGAGAGAAGTCTTTGGGCTTGTTTAGTCTGCAGAAGAGAAGAGTGAGGGGGGATTTGATAGCAGCCTTCAACTTCCTGAAGGGAGGTTCCAAAGAGGCTGGAGAGAGGCTGTTCACAATAGTGACAGATGGCAGAACAAGGAGCAATGGTCTCAAGTTACAGTGGGGAAGGTCTAGGTTGGATATTAGGAAAAACTATTTCCCTAGAAGGGCGGTGAAGCACTGGGATGGGTTCCCTAGGGAGGGGGTGGAATCTCCATCCCTAGAGGTGTTTAAGTCTCGGCTTGACAAAGCCCTGGCTGGGTTGATTTAGTTGGGATTGGTCCTGCCTAGAGCAGGGGGTTGGACTCAATGACCTCCTGAGTTCTCTTCCAGTCCTAGGATTCTAGGATTCTGCTCTCCACTACCTGCAGGCTGCTGCCTCTTCCTTCTTGTATTCGGCAGCCAGTGGTCCCCTCCTACCCCTTTCTCCTGCACAGTCCTGCCTTCTCTTTGTCGTCTCAATGCTTGTGTCCTACAGTGGGTCTCAGGAGGTGACCCAGGCAGCTACTGAGCTGAACCCCAGGCCTTGTGTGCTGCTGCTGATGTAAGTGCAAGCTTTATTACAGGGTGGGCAAAATAAGGCCCATGCGGATCTGGCCTGTCGCAGCTCAACGGGGCCATCAGGGTCCTGGTTTCTGCAGACCCACATGGCCAGCTGATGTGGCCAGCGTGTGTGTATGCGGTGCACCCCTTGCAGGACAGGGGAGACATCCACACCTTGGCCCTGCTCCCAGCACCATCCTCAAAGCTCCTCTTGACCAGAACCTGGCCAATTGGAGCTGCAGGGGCAGAACTTGCTGGTGTGTGCAGCACACGGAGACCCACTACACCCTCCATCCAAGGGGCACATTGCACAGAGACACACGTGCTGGCCACAATTGCTGATCTCTTTCAGCGATGTACGGGCTGCAGCACACAGGGAGCCTGCCTACAGTAAGCACCTCCTGGCCAGAGCCTGAACCTGGCACAACCCCCTCCCCCAGGTCACCACCCAAATCCTCTGCACCCCTGCCCCGGTCACAACTCCTTCCCAGAACTTACAAGCCCTACTATAACCATTTCCCAGGTCGGAATCCTCTCCTGCACCCAAACTCCTCCTTCCCAGACCTTGAGCCCCTTCCTGCACCCCAATCCCCTGCTCCAGGTCATAAGCCCATCTTTTACCTAAACTCCCTCCCAGACCCTACATCCTCTCCAGCACCCCAAAGCCTTACTCCAAGCTCCTTTCTGCACCAAACCTCCATCCCAGATCCCGCACTTCATCCATTAATACCATGGAAGAGTGCAGCCCTTGACCACTTTCCAAATTCTTCCAGCCCCACCCCCTCCCGCATCACAAATCATTGCCCAGCCTGGCTCACTGTGAAAGCCCTCACCTGAGGATGGCGTCTCTGAGCTCTGGGGTGAAGAAGAGACACTGCAGCAGGCTGTTTAAGTAGCAGGTGGAACCCTGGTTACGCAGCCCCACGTATCCACCTGGAACCAGAGAAAATCTGTTTCACATCCGGTTTGTTTGGTGGGTTGATTTATAAAAGGAGGGAAACGATCCGGAAGTGACTGGCCAGAGCAGTGACCCAGCAACGATGTAGCTCTAGCTGGGTTGAGAGAAAAGCCCCAACACTTCCCTCCGCAGGGATGTTAACGTTTGGGGAACAAGTCTCCCTTCACCCCCAGCTGCATCCGGCCTGTGGCCTTCTGCTGCCGCCTTGGTCTAGCTGGAGCTAATTTAACGACAGCCCATGATGTTCCCAGACTTCAAGAGGATCAAGTTCCTGATTCAGGAGGGATCGTTATGAGCTCCCAGAAATCTACTGAACCTTCTGTTTGAAATTTGGTTTGATGCATCACAGGAACCAGAGTTATGTAAAGCCTGCGGGGTGGTTCCCTTAATAGCCTCCCTATCCTAGAAGACCCCCAGGGCAGTGTTCCCTCTAAATGTTTCCATCCATGTGTGGAATAAATTTTGATCTCTGCACCAAGGCATGGTCAGGTGTGCACCACCCCTAGAAACACATGCTGTTGTCAGCTGCCACCCATGGGCGCTTTACTAATTAGCAGGGAGGCATTTGAATGTCCTCTGGGCAGCTGCCCAAGTGCCCTGCTCCTGGGACATGAGAATATCAGAGTGCATTGTTGACAAACAGGCCCTTATGGAACATTAACTCAGCCCTGGAGCCAAGTGCCTGCCCTCTTTATCCTGCTGTGGGACCTCTGATCACTCATGCGTTTTTATGCTGCCCTCAACAAGAGCTCACATTCCCTGCAAAGCAGAAGTGGGGACAGGCCCAAGGTCACGTTGCCCCCCCCCCCTTGCTAGCCAATGAAGCACGAGCTGCTTTCAGGTTAGGGGTCGGGTAGCATCTCCCACACACCCCAGAGACAGGATGCTCCCTCAGGGTCTCATTCACAGAGTAGACATGATGCAGCCCTGTGTCCTGGGTGGGTCAGTGGGTAGGATCTCCCCTCCCGCACAGCCTCATGCAGGGTCAGGGTGGCCAGCCCAGGATATGGGAAGGGGGAGCTTGGCTGGAGGAATCCCCAGTGACTGCTCCCCCTTTCCCATCACCACATGGCCCCACAGGGATACCTGTGACTTAGCAAGATAGAAACAGCCCTGAGGGGACGTCAGCTTCCTTCCACTGCACACTGGGACCTGCAGCATGGGTGCAGTGAATGGACGCTGTCTCCCTGTGCTACAATTACACCCAGAACAGGGCTTGCAAAGTGGAAAGAGGTGGAGACTGGGACCTAGTTTGGAGAGAGGGACAGGGAGAGGGTCCTGGGCCAGAGACCTGAGGGGTACGCCAGCTTTCTCCCTTTCTCTCTAGGGCAGGGGCGGGCAATAATTTTTTATGGAGGCCACTGCAAATTTTGGAAAGTGGTGAAGGGCTGCACTTTTCTGTGGGAAGGGGTTGTGGGGTTTGGGACAGAGGTTGGGTGCAGAATGGAGCTCAGCATAGGGGACTAGGGTGTGGGACAGGCTGTGGGGTCTGAAAGGGAGTTTGGGTGAAATAGGGGGCTGCGGAGGGAGCAAGAGTGAATTTTGACCTGGAGGAGGGATATGGCAGGGGTTGCAGGCTCTGGGAGGGAGCTGTGATCTGACGTGGTATTTGTGTTCAGAGGACTTGGGTGGTGACCTAAAGCGGACAGAGAGGGTGTGGGGTGCCAGAGGCAGGCTCTGGCTGGGAATCACTTTTCTGAGGTGGCTCCCAGCCAGCAGCCCAACAGGGTCTCTGAGGCAGGTTCCTTCCTGCAGCAGCATAAATGCTCCAATCACCAGGTTAGTGGCGATACTGGGATGGTCTCTTGCTCTGGTTATACATAGGAAAATTAAATGTACTTGAAAGGTCTTAGTTCCATCTGGATATGGAGCTTTGTGAAAGAAAGAAAGAAAGAAAGAAAGAAAGAAAGAAAGAAACCCCATGTCAAAATGATATATAAGAATTGGAAAAGGTTCAGAAGAGAGCTATAGGACAGCTTCCATATGAGTAGAGCTTAACAAGATTGGAACTTCTCCAATAAGAAGAGAGAGGGCTAAGGGGGATCACAGTCTCTTAGAACACTAGAACTGGAAGGGACCTCGAGAGGCCATCGAGTCCAGTCCCCTGCCCTCACTGAGTATGGAATGGTTTATGGGTTTTAAATGCGCAAAGGAAAGTCATCAAGGGTGTTTCCAAGGCCTCAATGGCTGTTTACATATGATTTTCCCCAGAGAAAGAAAGAAAGAAAGAAAGAAACCCCATGTCAAAATGATATATAAGAATTGGAAAAGGTTCAGAAGAGAGCTATAGGACAGCTTCCATATGAGTAGAGCTTAACAAGATTGGAACTTCTCCAATAAGAAGAGAGAGGGCTAAGGGGGATCACAGTCTCTTAGAACACTAGAACTGGAAGGGACCTCGAGAGGCCATCGAGTCCAGTCCCCTGCCCTCACTGAGTATGGAATGGTTTATGGGTTTTAAATGCGCAAAGGAAAGTCATCAAGGGTGTTTCCAAGGCCTCAATGGCTGTTTACATATGATTTTCCCCAGATTTTTGTCCTTAAGTCTTAGCAGTGGTTGATCTTAGGAAGTCACATGACCTCCCTAACTAGTATGGACTGGCCAGGTAACTTCCCATGCAAAAGTGGGAAACACAATAGGAATTAAAACAATAGGAAACTAGTAGGTCTTGGTCTTTGTCAGTCTGCTGTGGCACACCCAAGGGAATGAACTAAAGCAGTGGTCTCCAACCTTTCAGGGCTGCTGGGTGTCTGGGGGTGGGGCCACACACGCACCGCGCGCTGGGCCAGGGGCCGCCCATGCGTCGGAGGCTGGCACCATGCCTGTGCTGCATGCCGGGGGGGAATCCGGCCCAGATGATTCGGCAGGGGCACATAAATGCCCTAGCGGGCACCATGGCGCCTGCAGGCACCGCATTGGGGACCACTGAACTAAAGACTGTAGGGAGAGGAACTTCCCTGGTTTTGAAGGCTTAGCTGTAAAAGGAACAGCTTTAGGGTGAGTTTGTATTGAGGTTTTAATGTCGAATTAGCTATGTGTTTTCTGTTGTTTTGAGTTTGTATTCTACATTGCTCTGCCTTCTCCCACTTATATCCTACAGCTTGTACTCAATAAAACCACTTTTAGTTACTATCAAGCCCAGTGTAAATAACTATTACCTGTGGGAACAACTGGTGTACACATTTCCCCTTTACTTGTTACAGAGGGTTTACCTGAGTAATTCATTGGGGTTCTGATCCCATTTCTAGAGTGCTATCCCAGGAGCTGGGCCCAAAACTGCATTTTCCTTGGACCTGAAAAGATTCAGTGTCTGTTCTGTTTCTCTGAGGGGATTGAACCAGGAACCTCAGCTCTGTGTCTTGGCTGGGGGAGACCAGGTGAGAAGCCCCAGAGAGAAGGAAGGTGAGTGGCAGTGGCCTTCTCAGCATCCCAGGAAGCCCCCCAAAGGGTCTTCTGTGACCGCAGCCCGTCACACTGATATAGTTATGATGAATACAGCAGACACTCTTGTCCATATGTGCCAATAGGATATATAATAATTATATATACCCCATATCCAGACACTGCAAAGTAAAAGTGTACAGAAGAAGAGTACGGACTGAGGGCCCTTGATTTTTCTTCTGATTATATGTCAAGTCTTAGGCTGAATAGATTAGACCACTGGGGGAATGTGAAAGGTTTGAAACCACAAAAGCACGTTACTAAAAAAGAAGCATCTGGCTAAGGTCAGACTCAGGCTACGTCTAGACTACAAGCCTCTTTCGAAAAAGAGTGTCTAGATTACAGCCAGTCTGAATGCTCTTTTTCTAAAAAGTAAAGTTCACATTCAATAAGGCCTTTTTTTGAAAGAGAACTTTCGAAAAAAGGGGTTATTCCTCGTAAAATGAGGTTTTCCACAATTGAAAAAACTGCTGCATTCTTTTGATTTACTTTTGAAAGAACATGGCAGCAGTCTAGATGCAGGGTAAGTTTTTTTTTAAAAAGGCCACTTTAAAAAAAAACAAAAAACCCTGTAGTCTAGACACACTCTCAGTGACACAAGGTCTAGAAAACGGGAGCGATGAGGGAAGACTGAAAGAACTGGGCTTGTTTAGTTTAGAAAAGAGAAGACTGTGAGGGGCCATAATAGCAACTTTCAAGTATCTAAAAGGATGTGTCGAAGAAGGAGAAAAAATGTTCTCCTTGGCCTGTGAGGATAGGACAAGAAGCAATGGGCTTAAACTGCAGCAAGGGAGATTTAGGTTGGACATTAGGAAAATCTTCCCATCTGTCAGGGTGGTTAAACACTGGAATAAATTGCCTAGGGAGGTTGTGGAATCTCCATCACTGGAGATAGTTAAGAGCAGGTTAGACAGACACCTGTCAGGGATGATCTAGCTGGTGCTAGGTCCTGCCATGAGTGCAGGGGATGGGTCTTAATGACCTCTCAAGGTCCAGTTTAGGTCTAGTGTTATATGTTTCTATCCAGGGTGCATATGTTCTGGGTTAAGAAGGACTGGCAGACTGCCATGAAGAGGGAGCTGAGGGATCGCTACCCCTTCCTGCTTCTTCACATGGGAACTAACAATACGGCAAGAATGACCTTGAGTGGGTTACCGTGGATTATGTAGCACTGGGAAGAAGGATCCAAGAATTTGGAGCACAAATGGTGTTCTCGTCCATCCTCCCTGTTGAAGGGAAAGGACTGGGCAGGGATCGTCAAATTGAGGACGTAAATGCGTGGTTGTGCAGGTGGTGTCGCAGAGAGGGCTTTGGCTTCTTCGACCATGAGACTCTGTTCCGGGCACAAGGATTGTTAGGAAGTGATGGGATCCACCTAACCAAGAGAGGAAGGAGCATCTTCGTGGCCAGGCTTGCAAACCTAGAGAGGTTTAATGAGGTTAGTTGGGGGACGGTGACCAAAACCCTGAGGGGAGTGGGAAAGTCGGATACCGGGAAGAAATGCAAAGAGGAACGAGCAACAAAGGAGGACCCCTGATTCAAATGGACAAGATAGGGCGATCAACTGGTTATCTGAGGTTTTTGTACATTAATGCGAGAAGCCTGGGCAACAAACAAACAAGCCTGGCCCAGTCCAAGAAATGTGATTTAATTGGGATAACAGAGACTTGGTGGGATGACTCATGGGGGACTTTAATCACCCTGACATCTGTTGGGAAACCAATACGGCAGTACACAGGCAATCCAGGAAGTTTTTGGAAAATGTTGGGGATAACTTCTTGACACAAGTGCTGAAGGATCCGACCAGGGGCCCTGAGCAGCTTGACCTTTTGCTCACAACAGGGAGGAACTAATAGGGGAAGTAGAGGTGGGTGACAACCTGGGAAGCAGTGATCATGAGATGGTAGATTTCAGGATCCTGACCAACGGAAGAAAAGAGAGTAGTAAAATTCACACCTTGGACTTCAAAAAAGCAGGTTTTGACTTCCTCAGAGATCTGATGGGCAGAATCCCCTAGGATGCTAACATGAAGGGGAAAGGAGTCTAGGACAGCTGGCAGTATTTTAAAGAAGCCTTATTGAAGGCACAAAAAAAACCCATCCCGACATGTAGCAAGAGAGGCAAACATGGTAGGAGTCCAGATTGGCTTACGGGGGAAATCCTTGGTGAACTTAAGCACAAAAAGGAAGCTTACAGAAAGTGGAATCTTGGACAAATGACCAGGGAGGGGTTTAAATGTATAGCTCGAGAATGCTGGGGGGTTATCAGGAAGGCAAAGGCACAGATTGAAGTGCGACTGGTTAAGGATGTGAAGGATAACAAGGTTTCTACAGGCATGTTAACAAGAAGAAGGTGATCAGAGAGAGTGAGGGGTCCCTACTGGATGAAGGAGGTAACCTAGTGACAGATGATGTGGGGAAAGCTGAAGTACTCAATGCTTTCTTTGCCTCTGTATTCATGGAC